ACCGATGCATCAATTGGGTAAATTCTTTACAATTTCAATTGAAACTAATTTGATTTTGCTGCAAAAATTCTTTACAATTTTATTTGAGACTCACCACGATGCATTGGGTGAATTCTGTATAATTTCAATTGAAACTAATTTAATTTTGTTGCAAGAATTCTTTACAATTTTAAGAGACTCAACACGATGCGCTGGGTGAATTATTTACAATTTCAGTTAAAACTCATTTCATTTTGTTGTAAGAATACTGTCTTTGTACTTTTTTTTTTGTTGCTCTTTGCTAATTTTAGATAAAACTATTCTTTACATCCGCTTGCTTCTAAATATATGGATCCTTTTATGCTAACTAAGTAATCCCCACATGCGAATAATGCTGTACTTTGGAAGCCGATTGTTGCCTGGTTTCTCTGACGCGCACAACTGAAAGTGCAGGAGGCGCTCTTCGCTCTCGCTCTTGTTCAATCGTTCCTGTGGCATTCTGGAACGGAATGACCAGAGTCTTCAACACAGGTATTCAATATTCGGGAGGATAATGAGCAGCGGTTCGGAAACAAGCGTCACGCAGATCAAATGAACCCATTAGTGCCTCTGCAACGGCTTTAGATAATGTGGGAAACGACGGCCGACTGTAATTGCTACTGATGACCTTAGCTTGGCTATCAAACTTCTCATAGTAATATTAGTCTCTTGAAAAGATCTACCTTGGCCAGGAACTTTAGCACTTTTCGCAAGGGAGAACTGGATGACGGGGTTCGTGGATTGCTATAAACTAGAAAAATATAACGGCGTTTTCAGCGTGTAATTTGGCGTTTATACGTGTCAAACAAACCAAGTGAACCTGGCACTCGGAAAAATGGGAAATAATTTAAACCACATGGGCATCTTTTGATTTGCAACCGAAATCCCGGTTACACGACGCCTCCTTTGCAATAAACCTCCATCAGATTGCGGGTACCTCGGCCGGGATGCGAACTTGAAAAACCCCACAAAGTGTGCTGCGATTGACAGTGGCAGCTGGTAGCCATCATGCCGCCATTTTTGGCGCGACAGTGAAATGCATGGAGCGAGAACTCGCGCGTCAGATTCGCACATCATGAGATCATGAGACTTATCCGGTTTCGGTATCGGAGTGTATACGTTGCGCCGAATTGTGCTCGTATAATAGAAAATATTGGGCGATCATTCCGATAACTACAATAACAAAACTCGATACCCCACCGGCGCTTTTGTGCAAGCATCGTATTGCTATCGGTTATTGTTATCGGAGTTGTCAAATGAATCTACTAAAACATCCTATTAACCGCGGTTCTCTATAAAAAAAAAAAAATTGTTTGCGTTTGTACAGCGCTGGGCACATTGCCCCTGCTCAGGAAAGTCAGCAGACATTAGTTAAGGGCGGTCACGACTACGTTTGGGTAGTCGCGATGAAAACACAAAAGTGCCGAAAGTACTTTTGCAAAGTTTTCTGGCGCTGCCCTGGCCCGGCAACTTTGACATAACCGTGTGGCTAGTCCGAAAGCTAATTCTAAGAGGACGTCTGCGCTAGAGGACCGAGGGGCAAAAACGCGTCAGGGGACTCGTCGCTTAAAAAAAAAAAAAAAAAAAAAGAAGCATTACCATGAACAAAATATTTTCTCCTGAGTATATCTACGAAATATCTAAACAAAATAATAATTTTCTTTCGAGAAAATCAATTTTGAAGTTTTCGCGTACGCCTCCGAATCACAGGCTGCCGCTCTACTGGCAACAACGAGCAGGGGTACTCGTGACGTCAAAGGTTGTATTCGAGAGCAAACGATGCTTTCTGCTCAAGCGCGTTGTGCGTTGTAGTGATAGTGAGCGTCTGTGGTTTTGTGAATTACGCCTGATTTAGGCTATTTGCGCCAGGCAATGGAGAGTGGAGAAATTGGTGATGTGGTGTGGGGTGCAATGACACCAGGAAGAAATGCAACAGAGTAACCTCTTATTGGTTTCCGACCGAGATGTCTCTGCGACGGAAGGGGGTCGGAACAGTCTGGTGCGAACGCTAGCTTGATAGCGTTCGCGTCGTGCTAGGAGACAGTTCGCACCATGCTAGCAAACAGAACCTTCCATACCATTCTGCTTCTGAAGCGGCGTCTGGGTCCACATGTCGGCGGAACGCGAATGCTGCCGGGTGGTCTCTTCGGAGGCGATGCCGGCGGATCCAATGCGAACGGTGAATCGTCTGCAGTCTCGTTCTGAAAATCCTAAAACGTTTGCTGGTCATTGCTTGACACAGACAAGCTTGATGAGTCGTAGTCTGTTATTTCCCAGGGACGATCGTGAGGGCCTTCCGACTGCTTCTGACGCTGAACGAAACAGGCTCAAGCCACTGCGCCGATGTTTATACAACATCTGATCTCATAAAAAAATGGCGGACCACTCAAGTTGCAGCTTTGCAAGTTTGTTTTGGTGTCGGTAACATTCTGTTTCTAAAATAAAAAAAAAAAAGGTTTAGTAAGTTTCTTCGAAATTGATTTGCTGCTCTTAGCTGTTTCTTGTGCTCTTTCAGAAAACATGTTTAGTTGAAAACGTTCAAATTGGCGCTTTAAACCGCGAAGTTTTTGCAACTCTCGTTTCCCCTTGCTGGAGGAAAACATGCGGTTCAGGTCGAGCGGTTTGGAGAGCGAGCGGCCAGTCGTAAGGGGAAGGTGATCGCGTGTTTTTTATCCCTCGCCCGCGCCTGACGCGAAACGAGAGGTAGCTTTCGAACACTCTTCGAGGGGCCTGACACTCGTCAGTACAACGGAATGGATAAAAAAAAAAGTCACAATAAAAAAGAATAGATCAAATGTATTTGAGTTAATCGGATTCATGTAATTGAAATCACTGCAGCTATAAACTAGTGCGTATTAATCATCAGATGCATTTTTAAACGTGACAGATTGATTGATCACTTCGTCCGATCACTGTAAGCAGTGCTGAAAAAATGATTGCTGTAAATTTAAAGTGCACTTCAATTAGCAACTCTGCCTTGAGTAAAACCTGTCGTAGTAGAACAAAAAACAGCTTAATATCTTTTTAGTTAGTGAAAACATATATTTGCTTTTTTACGCTCCGATGTAATGCAATCAAACATATACATTTCCAGTGTTCCTTTTTTTTTTCCCCGTTCCTAATTACTCGCAGCAGGACGTTACGCGATTCACGAGCGAAGTGAGTGGTAGAGAGAAAGATCAACGTTCCGATGTTCTCAGAAGACCACCGCTTTGTGCTCGTGTTCAGCCAGATGTAAATATTTTGTTCGATGATTCCTCGAATTAAACAGAAAACAAACGCGTATATAAAGCATCAAATGACGAACAAACTGTAAATAAATCAATTATTTCAGGCTATTTTACGGAAAAGGTTCGATCTAAATAATCATAGTAAAACCGGTCCGGTGTAGATACGATTTACTTCACGATTAAAATCATATTGATTTTTTATTCTCCACCCTGGGTGGGAGTGGCACGGTACGACGAGGTGCAAATTATGGAAGACGTCCCGCCGATGAGGAACCCCGAACGTGAGAGTATGTTCAGATCCGAATGCGGCTGGCGGACGTAGCAAAATGTAACCTGGTAACGTCACACGACCCGCAAAAACTGCGGTTTCCGGGGCCCGGGACCTGCCAACTTGCAAACCGGTTTCTAATAAGCTGAGCTTTATAATGGCGGTACATACCGGCCGGCAATCCGTTCTCCAAAAAGCGGAACCGTTTTTTTTCTTTTTTCAAGTGGTGTCACAGCGACGTCAACGATGGCGTATTCCCATTTCCACTGGCTTAATTGAAAGTTTGATATATCCGAACTGTTTGGGGTGCGCGCCGACTGCACTGGAGAGGGAGGTGGGAGCGCGCTCCTCGCGGACTCTCGAAGATTAGCTTGGCAGTAAAAAGTCCCACAATAGGGGCTGCTTTCCCCCTTCCGCCCGTGGCCTGCGTACCTCCATAGCGCTGCGCGTTTTTCTTTTGATTGGGCGGCCCCCTGGAGAACCGCCGTGGCGTTAGTTCATCGACCGCCGCCGGTGCGTCGTCCAAACAGAAGCGCGCACTTTCGACCCAAAACAATTGTCGGAAATGAGGAAAAAAAAAAAAAAAGTGTTCCTTTAACCGCACGCAGCAGAACCCCGTGTGGTTCGGAGTGCCCCCAAGCTCCATGTTGAGCTCCTCTCCCGTCGCTCTTTCGTCGGCACCCCTTGGTCTCCTCTTTTCAAAATCACTTCTGTGGTACTCGAGAAGGCAAATTTTAAGGTCAGTGGAGAAGTTCTCTTGGGGACCCAGGAAAACTACCCGTTCGCGGCTCCCGACGCCTTCTGCAGCAAATTAAAGGGACACTGACAGGATATTTATGGTGACCAAGGTTTTTATTTTTGCATGACATATGAGAGGCCAACTACCCAGAACAGAGTTTGCGGCTCGAAATTCATTTTTTTTTCGCCCGAAAACCGCCTATCGTGGTCGCGTGCCGTTTTGCATGGTTAAGACACAATCACCAAAGATAATCAAAGTCCTGGGTCATCGAAGGCGCACACTCACTACTAAAATAAACAACAAGTATGCTACCCATTTTTTTTTTTTTTGGCGGGGGGGGGGGGGGGGGGGGGGGGGGCTTCTAGAAAACTGCAAATACGTTCATTAAAGAAAAAAAGTTGCACAGCTACGTGACGTTTCGTAACTTTCTCCTCCACTATAATTATCTTCCGCTCCAGTCAAGTTTCGGTTTCGTTTTCGAGTGGTTGCGCATTTTGACTTTATTAAAAATATACGTGACGCTGTAGCAAAACATTGATTGGGTTGTCTTCTTGCACCGTAATAAATCGCCTAACAAAAAAAAAATGATTTTTTCTTTTTTTTTGGGGGGGTGGGGGGGGGCGGTTGTGTTTTTTTAATGATTTATTTGTTCGTAACCCGCGAAACTTGCAAGGCTGATTCCCCGCTACTCTAACACTCACACAACAGACTCGATTTGAGCGCTTCGCCTTCGGTGCTTTCCCAGGTGTCCAGCGAGTCCGTCGTGTTGGCGTTCACCGCCCGCATCCGCCTGGTGGCCCCGGTGCTTCTGGCCGTGGTCGACGAGCGCTTTGAGGCCGCCCTGGACGAGGCTCGAGCCGTAGACCGCCTGGTCCGGGCCACGCCGCCCGACGAGCGACCCGCACTACTCGCACGGAAACCCTTCCTCGGGGTCCCCATCACGGCCAAGTCCCCCGTTGGCATTCAAGGTACGCACTATCGGAAAGATATTCGCGACTCCAACTAACTATAAGTGGCGCCACTCGCTTTCCGAAATGGCGGTTATAGTAAGGGTCGGAGGTGCGCGCCGGCTGCTGAGCCAGTCGAGTGTGCTGGCTTCACTGAGCGACACAAATTATGTGTGGTAATATGAGGAAGCTAGGATGTGATGAGAGCAGGTCACCTCTTTATCCTGAAAACAAAAGCGGTGTTGGGCGTAATACTTACTCCTGGAAGCACGTTTTAATTCCGTAGTGAAACCAAAACTAACCTCCATTTTGGATTTAATTTGACGGTATAGGACTATAGGTCTTAATTTAGAATTTTTTCATAGCTCAAGATATGTCTCACATCGTAAAGATTTAGTGACAAACGTGTTCGATTCAGGCACTTCAAACTATTTTGGAGACTTCAGTGTCCCTTTAAAGACAGGGTCTTTTATACAACTTAGAAGTTAGAGGTAACATAGAATATTGTAGTTGTTGAAAAAAATCAGTGGTGATATTTGTGTGTTCTCGTTGCCTTTTTTCGCTCAAAAAGTTGTAATGTGAAAGATTAAACTGCGGGCCTTTTAAATGGTTTGGGGTATTTAGATGGTTAATTGCTTTAACATTATTCCCAGCCCAATCATAACAGAATAAATAACTTTTTACAATATGCCCCAAAAACGTATAAATCAATAAACGCTGTTCTCACTACAACAACCCAAAGACAGAACCGAGTCAGACAGTTTAAGTGTGTGTGTTTTTTTATATCAACGCGTGACGCATAGGACTTCATATTGCATCCAGTGTTTGACTGTTTGCCTATCTTGATAACAATGTCAGAGTGTTTATATGCTAGAAAAAAATACCGTTCTAAAAAGACTATTATGGTTAAATAACGTATCTTTGTGATCGTAGCGTTAATGGCGTATTAATAATATTAGTATTAAAATTTAATTTAATACGCAATTTTTTTAATACTTAATATAATTTTTTTATTTTTTTATTTCATAATACTATCAGTCCCCCAGTGGGGACTATGATAGGAGTGAGTACAAAAAACAGTAGACAATGTAATACACATGCAGAACACAATGACAAAAAATGAAGGACTATACGACACCTAATACTCATATTAAAAGCAGAAGGTACAGCAAAAATGATAACAGGAGGTCTATTAGTTACATGGGAGACACTTTGTAAAATCAAAAACCGTTTTGGATATAACAACGCTTTCAGGAAGTGTATTCCATTCCCTTATTGTCCGAGGGAAATACGAATTCTTGAAACATTCTTTGTTGAATCTGTACTCTTCGATTGTCCTAGTATGCTTATTACGTGTGATTCTAGATAGATGGGGTTTGATGAATTTATGTTTATCAATCTGCAGTGTGCCATCTAAAATCATAAAAAGCATTTTTAAACGCTTATTTTTTCCCCTCTCTTCTAATAAGGAGATGCTTGCCTTAGAATAGAGCTCAGTTGGTGAATCCAGTCTTCTGTACTTCGAAAAAATGAAACGCAGTGCCATTCTTTGAACTTTTTCTAATTTCAATATTAAACCTTTTGTGTGAGGATCCCAAACTTCACTGGCATACTCCAATCTAGGTCTTATTACCATTCTATAAGCTAGCAATTTAGTTTCAGTGGTTGCCAGTTTTAATGATCTTCTTAGTGACCAGAGTTTAGCTGTGGCTTTTTTTACTATATTACTGACATGTTTGTTCCAACTTAAATCACTGGTTATTGTTACTCCTAAATACTTAAATTCATCTACCCTAGACAAAGGTTCACTCTTCAAGTAGTAGTTATACACAGAAGGAACTCTCCTATGTGTTATTGACATGCAAACTGTTTTGTCAGTATTTAAAGACATTTGCCAGATCTCGCACCATTTGCTAATTTTCTGCAAACAGTCGTTTAGTTCAACATGGTCAGAATCATCCTTTATGTAAGTATACAATATACAATCATCAGCAAAAAGTCGTGCCTTTACTGTAATATCGCGAAGAACGTCATTAATAAAAACCAAAAATAACAGGGGCCCAAGTACAGAACCTTGGGGGACTCCCGAGTCGACCCCGCGAGGCATGGAAGCGTGACCATCAATGCTCACAAATTGCCTTCTACAAAACAAAAACATTTCTATCCATCGCAGAACTTTCGTGTTTTTTAGTAAATGCTTGAGCTTTAAAAGTAATTTATTATGGTTTACCTTATCGAATGCTTTTTGAAAGTCTAAAAAAATTACATCAATCTGACCTCTTCTGTCAAGGGTAGAAGAAAAATCGTGAATTAATTCTGTTAATTGAGTTGTGGTAGACAGGCCTTTTCGAAAGCCATGCTGTTTTTCATCAAGCACAGAGTAGGTATCTAAAAACATCCTTATAAGCTTCGAAACAGCATGCTCAAGTATTTTACAACAAGTAGATAATAATGATATGGGTCTATAATTCGTGACCTTACAGGCATTTCCAGTCTTAAGAATAGATATTATTTTGGCCAGCTTCCAGTCATTGGGAACGGACCCATCTGAAAGCGATTTATTAAAAATGATCGTGAGATATTTTGAACATCATTCGCTATAACGCCTTAAAAATTTATTATGAATGTCATCCGGTCCGGCGGCTTTCTTTGGATCGATAAGAAGTAGCTGTGAAAAAATTCCTTCCTCTGAGACCTCCACGTCTTCGATTGGGGGCACATTCTCAAACAAACAAAATGTTGGTAAGATGTTATTATCAGCGGAAAAAACACTGACAAAATATTGGTTAAAGCAATTCGCAATTTCAGTTTTGTCCTCAATCACTTTTTCTTCTACTATCACTTTGGTAATTACTTTCTTACTTGGTTTTAATTGTCGCCAAAACTTCTGTGGTGAATATCTCAAAAAGTTTTGCATTTTTACATTAAAGAAAATTGTTTTCGAAGTTTTTATTTTTGCTTTCAGCTCTTTGCTCAGTGACTGTATTTTTGCCTGCTGGAACCCGTCGTGTTTTTTGCGTGCTCTTGCTCTACACCTTGACAATCGTCGTTTGTGGTGGATTATGTCCCTTGTAATCCAAGGACTGTTCAAGTTTTTTTTTTCTTATTTCCACTGGGACAAACTTACGAGTGCATTCAAGTATCATTTCCTTAAAATTGAGCCATAGGTCATTCACTTCTATCAACGGGTTGCCAGCTAGGTGCTCGAAGTTGTCATAGTTCAGGCTAAGTTGATCAATAACTGACTCGTCATTGGCTTTTTGAAAGTTTTTATACGAAGTAATTTCAATTCTCCTGAGCATAGGCTTTAAGGACAACGTAAAATGTACAGTGCTGTGGTCCGAAACTCCCGGGCTAATCTTGCAATCATACGCGTGGTTTATAAGGTTCTCATTTATAAATATTAAATCCAAAAGAGCTTCTGATTTCCCTTGTATTCTAGTATGTCCCTTAACAATTTGAGTTAAATTATGTGAGAAAACTGTATCTAAAAGTTCCTCAGCACATGGTACTTCGTGGTTCCCAGATCCTAACGTTACCCAGTCAATTCCACCGAGATTGAAATCTCCCATTAAAACAACCTTCTTGGAACTTACTTTCAGTTTAAAAAGGAACTCACTTAGTTCTCGCAAATATCCACATGGCATTTGCGGGGGTCGATACAGTACTCCCACAATTAACTCACTTTTTTCCATTTTGATGCTACACCATACATTTTCTATGCCTGGAGATCCCTCGATTTCTGAAGAATTTAAACAAGATTTGATTACTAGAGCAACACCCCCTCCTCTACTTTCTCTGTCCTTTCGATAGAGCACGTAACCGGGAGGTATTATGATATCATCTGTCACAGACGAGTCTAACCAGGTTTCAGTGATAGCTACTACATCGGGGTCATGCTCTATTAAAATATGTTCTAGCTCGAGGGTTTTATTTACGATACTTCTTGCATTAAGGTTAATAAATAGGACACTGTTTGCCTGTGGGAAATCAGATGCCTGTCAATTATCATGCTCGGATGAAGGTACTTCTCTGACTGAGTAAAGTTCAACTCTCTGGTTTGTATCTACTTCCCATGCGTAAGTCACTCCATTAATCTTCAATTTATCATACGCTAAGTATACCTTCTCTCCCCTTTGCCTGTTTTCTTTCGCACTGTCCCACAGTTTTTTCCTTATCATTCTAACATTTTTCGAAAAGTCCTCGTTAATAAATATGCGCGTTCCTTTTAATTTTTTAGCATTTCTGAGAATATTTTGCCTTTCATTGTAGTTTCCAAAGCGCAAGATTACTGGTCTCGGTTTACCCCTAGCCACCCTTCCGAGACGGTGAATTCTTTCGAGAGATTTAACTTCAACAGCCATTTTTGTTTTAAAGAAGCCTTCCACCACTTTTTCCACCAAATGTTGCTCCGTTTCTGCGTCCTCTACTACGTAGATTACCAAGTTATTTCTCCTACTTCTATTTTCCAAGTCATCGATCTTTGACTCGAGCTTTACTACGGTCGCTTCTAAGTGCACTAGTTTTCCTTGTGTGTTATTTAGCTCCCTACTGAGATCCTTTATTGCTTGTTGTTGCTTCTTATCTAATTTCAAACGCGCGAACAAGTGTGACAATCAAAAGTGGGCTAATTATCATCACTGGTGCAAACTGCAACGTTTTTAATGACCAAGTTATAAAACAATAGTCTAAAATCAATCAAAACATTCTCGCTAATGTGGGAAATCCCTGTAAAATTACATTCGTTGTGGATAAAGCGTATTTTGCTTTCAATGTCGCGACTTTTGACACTCGGCAAGAGTTACAAAGTCGCCGCCAATAGCCTTCCCGACCTAATGCCCTAAAATAATAAAAATAAAAATAAGGAAATATAGATTTTTTTAATTATTAATTTTTTATAGCATCTAGTTACTTGCTCGTGGAAATGGAGCGTGCTGGTTAAGTTACGGTGTTTGTGGAGAATAACATGTTTTCGTCCTCTATGTTATTCTCCACAAACACCGTAGTTACTTGCATTTTTATGGTCCGCGGTTTCGCCAATCTCAGCCTTTCCAGCTCGAAGGAACGCCTACCTGCTTACACGTCTGCTCACTGCAGCACGTTGCGTTGGCGTTGCAAGCCGGTGAAACAGTCGTGAGTCTCAGTATTGCGTATACGAGCAAACGCAAGCACTGTGTGTTTGTGTTAGCTTTGCGTGTTTGCGCGTGCGCGGAGCCCAACATTTTGGCCTTGGATTGGCGCATGGCGATGAGGCGCACGCACAACGTGGGGCACGCAACTCTAATGCAAACGCACAGCGCTTGCGTTTGCTTTTATGCCCAATACTAAAGCTCTCCAGTAAGGTACAATCCCATACCGGCTGCAGCACTACGTCGGGACAGTGAAGAATGTTTTTTGCGTTTGGAAATGACAATAGACCGATCTCACCAAGCGATCGGCGCATGCGTGACGCCGCCTTAACTTTAGTTTACAGGAGGCAAACGGCAGTGCACGAGAGGGCTCTTACTGTCTCGTGCTCCACGCGCGCAGAGCTCCTGCGAGGTTGTCGCACGTGCAGAAAGACTCAAGTTCCCTCGATGCATTGCGGCAGCGGTGGCGTAGTCAAACTGACTGGTGAGATCGGTCTATTAGGAGTATTCACTGGGCGCCATAATTGTGGGTGATGTCTAAAGCGCATGAGTAAGTGAGAAAACGTATTTATTAAAGGAATGGGATACATCACGATTTCTTGATAAAGTCATCCAATCGCATGCTCTGAACGAGCCCGCACTAATAGGCTGCTAAGACCGGCAATCTTGAGGGTGCGGAATGCACGTTACAAAAGAACTGCGGAAGCTCGCCATCAGCACGCGCTCAGCAGTCGTGCACACAGCTATGGCCGCCAGGGAATACTTCCTATTCGCGAGCTATGATCGCGTGCAGTTCCGCCGCGCCCGCTGCACAGGAGAATCGGGGGACCCTCACTAGAGTGCTTCCCTTTTCCGCCGCGGGAGGGCGAGCAACTAGCTGGAGAGGCGAATAGTCCGCCGTGCTTATTTGACGCACATATAGGTTTTCAAAGACGCTGTCGTTCAAACTAGGGCAGTTCGAAGTTTAGGTTCTGGTCTCTAAACTGAATGACATATCAAGAATTTATAGAAATTTGGTGAACCGCTGTCGTATAAATAGCCAGATTGGATGGTGTCGCTCAAATTGGGCGTGGGTGTTTATACATCGTTTGATGCCCTCCCTAATAATTTGTGAAATTCCCGACTCTCAACAACGAATTTAAAGAGCCGAATTGCGAAGGAGGCGGTGGTTAGATGTAGTGCACACCGACCCGCCGTAAGTTCAACTGGATGGAATAATCCGAGTATATAGAGTAAGACGCTTCGAAAACAGTGCCGTTACATTTCTGCGTGGTTTTGCAGAGGAGCCTCCCGGGCTCAGCAAATGTGAAATGTGAACCCATCTTGAGGTAAGACAGGCTCGGTGAGCACTGAAGAACGTGTCGTAGAACGGGCATTCCAGTAGCTCCGTAAGTTGCCGTTTTGGGAGACACCATCTGGCCACGATGTGGCGGAAGGCTGCTGGGTCGCCAAAGGGCTGCTTTCTTCTGTAGGTCAATATTATTTTTCAGAAAGAACGGAGAATAGGCAGGCAAGCAGGCGAACTTTCAGCATTGTGAAAAGCGGAGACCGAAGAAGAAAAAAAGGGGGACGAGAGGTCTCAGGCCCAGCTGCGGCGGTTATTTTCACTTCCTTGTTTGTAAGGACGAGCTACAGTCGACCTTCTGACGCGTAAGGTCAGTCGTTATATCAACAACACCCAACCACACACCAGGTCCAGTCTCACCAACAACCCTTAAGTCCCGTTCGCACACTTGCGTTGGCTTACGACCGACTTCTTGCGATTTCTTACGATGAGAGAGCACGCTGGCAGCGCCATCTATGAGGTGACCCTGGAAGTGCATTTCGCCAGAGCCAAGGTTTTTACTTGCGAGCTCGACAAACTATACAAAATTGTCGTATATAACATTGTCAAAAGTTTTTCAAGTAAAAAAGAATGAACGATCTCCGAAAAAAATATACCAGAGTGGAGTGGAGCGAACGTTTATTAAAATGTTCTAACGGTTACGTTTTGGTAAGACCAGAAAAAAAAGAAAAAAAAGCAAATATACTGGAGTGTTATGTGTTCCACGGTTACCCGACAGATGGCACCAGTGCGTTCTCTCGTCGTAGGAGATTTTCGGAGGTTTCAAGGCGCACGGTCGTAAGCAGTTGCAAGTGTGTGAACCAGCCTTTACGAGTTCACACACCTGAAGGGCGCAGAAGCAGCCGACCGAGACAGCTCGGCCTCATTCCTACCCCACGGTCACTTCTCAGTGTGCGTCGTTCTCCCTTTTTGTTCCCCGGTCTCGAGTGTTTGTCCCTTGTTCGGCCGGTGGTACCACCAGGCCGACGCTAACGACGTTTCTTCCTGTCCCGAATGACGCAGGGCTGGTGTTCGACGCGGGACTCAAGTGCCGCCGCGGCGTGGTCGCGGAGCGCGACTCGGACGCCGTGTCGGCAATGCGCGAGGCCGGCGCCGTGCCACTGGCCCTGACCAATGTGTCCGAGCTGGCCATGTGGTGGGAGTCCTTCAACAAGGTGCACGGACGCACCAACAACCCGTACGACCTGAGGCGCATCCCCGGAGGATCCAGCGGTCAGTGTGCACACGCCGTCTTCACCGTGAACCGGGGTGACCTAAAGGCACAACGAACCGGCAAAATCATCTTTTTGTAGTGCCTGGCACGCGTCTCAAAAATTACTTAATTCCACGCTTCCTCTAAAAAATAAGAGCGCTATTTATACTATACGTGGCAGACTTTGAGTTAAAAGCGCAAACGAAACTAACCTTTAATTGAAGGCGTCGACTTCGGTGGCAATGTAACTTTCGGTTTTGCTCCTAAAATAAGCGCGTGAATTGTTTTTTTTTCTTCAAAGGCTAGGATTTATTGTGTGGCGTTGAGTTCGGCTGAAAAAACAAAACAAAAAAACGTATGCACCCACGCGGTTAATATCTTGTAGTACCGGGCATTCGTGAAAAAAAAAAGAATCGTGTTTTTCGGCCCGCGTAGATAAGCTATGCGCCACAGAAAGCTCGGTCTTCGTAACAACGCGGCGCTAGTGGTTGGGACAGAACTCGAAGGTTTGAGAACATGACGTTACTTGTATCTAAATATAGTTGAGAAAGACGATGTCTTTCTCAGTTATCACAATTTTAGGTGGTATCAAAGGAGGGTCTCGTTAGACAGATAAATCACAAAAACTATTGCCTTGCTGTGCACATTTATTGCAGTAGAATATAGCCGATCGTAAAATTATTCAAAAACCCGGAATGTAACGACACATTCATGTTCTTCTTTCCTCGAATTATTCAGTGGAATGAATTAGCATGCGGAGTTGTGAACGGTGCTAGTTCTCCAGACTTCTCTTCTACCTATGTTATCGCGGCAAGCGCCACGTGCGTGATATCGTTTTTTCTTCTACTTCCGTAACAACCTGGGAAACGATTAACAGTAGTAATAAAGAGAGAATTAGAAGAAGAAGAAGAAAAAAAACACGGCATGTATGCACCATCTGGCAGAGAAGGAACGTTAAGCAACCACGGTTCTACACCAAATTGACTGGAGCGTTCTTCATTGGTAAAAATAATATAATACGTCATATGGCTTTTTCGTATGACATTATGGAATATAGGTCGTATGTGTGCAAATGGTATTTTGTCAATAGGAATATTCTATTTCCAGGCAATCTTTTGGGGAGGTTCAGTGTCCCCAAAGACGGGTGCAAACTCCTTCTGCATCGTACAAACGACAGTCTGGCAGACATCAGTCACCGCGATATGCGTGGTTCGAATACCGCGTGTCAAGTCTCTCCTCAAACTCGTTGCCATACGGCATTGGAAGCACGGATCTCGTGGCGACTCGGGTTCGAATCTTTGTGCAGACTGTCTTTTGATTGATGTCTGAGCAGCTGAAAGCCGCAGTCCCTGCGCTCGTCCATCATGCAAAAGACACCACGGGGTATCTCCGGTGACACGATGAAAGAATTGTGTGCGAACACGCCTCATGCACGTTCCAAGGCTTCGTCCACGTACACTCTTCGAACAAGACTGCAGACGGTGTTTCTATGACTTACGCGAGAGGACCGTCATACAAGCAAGAAACACGCTTCAGAGGGAGAGCGTCTGAAGACCGTCTTTGTATGATCTAGCACGCAAACGTGGCTTAAGAGTTTGGAACACAAACAAAAAGCGAAAAGGGCTCATATCGCAATCCTCTTAGCAGAACTTGAATCTGTGCGATTATTCTAGTTTTGATACCTCGTAAATCGGAAGGTGCAACGAGACTATATACTCGGAATGATGGGTTCTATAAAACGTCCTAGACGACAGTTCATATAAAACGGCTCTTCTCCAATATGCATATTAGGTCGAGGAATTCAGTACGTGCTTTCTTTCAAATACGCTTAAATAATAAGAATGATTTTTTTTCCGTGTGTGTGACCTTTTGCGATTGCGCGTGAGCTTCGGCTACACGCGCATTCGAGTCGATCCCCCCGTCTCGCACGAGTGAGGCAGATAATTGGCGGCTGAACACGAGGAAAACACGACCGCTCTCGCGACCGGTTTTGAGTTGATATATGATACCATTTTCCTGGTACAACAATCTACACTCGCGGCAAAAAGCAAAACAAAACAAAAAAAGAGGAAAAAATCCGATAGTTTCGAAAGAAACAACATTATGGTCACGTTATTCCGAAGCACAATTCTTCACTTCGTGGAGCAACATTCCTCGGCAAAGTCCTACTTTGTCTTTATAGCACACACGAGTAAATCCGTGTTTTGAAGGAGAGTTACAAATACGACGTTTTACCATCCGATTATTTTTTATTGAATTGTAAAGTGCGCGCGTTTTCCTCGCCGCGAATGCTGTTAACCCGAACACGACATTGGCACGTTTTGAGATTTTATTTCGATGGGGTTTTGGCGGTCATCAAATATTACCGCTTAGATTAGTGTCCCAAACGACTACTTTCTATTATTATATATTACATTTCGTGCACCATCATGGTGTTTGTCATATTTCTGCACGTGTTGTATCATCGCTGAGCTAGTCATAAACTGAAAAGGCCTCGTGACATGCACTTTTGACGCTGCTTGATTGGTCCCATTACATGGTAGCGTCAGCTGCGTCTGGACCAACGTTAGTACAACGTTTTAATAACGTTGGCGTGGACTTAAAACGAGGAATAGGGAGTATTTACTGACGGCCATAGCTGCTTGCGAGACTGCTGAGCGCGTGCTGGCGGCGAGCTTCCACAATTCTCTCGCAACGTGCATTCTCCATCATAAAGAATACCGGTCTTAGGAGCCTAGTAATGTGAGCTCGTTATGAGCATGCGCTCTAAACAGCATACTCAAATAAAAAAAAAAAGTTTAGTTTTGAAAAAAAAATCCGGTGATATTGCGCAGTGTACAGGGAATTAGCAAGTTGCACAATTATTACCGTAACCTAAAGCTACGTTCGATCAATCATGCCATAAGAAATGCCTCGATATTCTTTTATCTTTTTGAAAGTGCTACAGAAACGAAGGGTTTGCACCTATTACTTTGTTTAGCTGTAGTCTATGTTGTGCCGGCAGCCCAGAAACACTAATCTAGACTAGTGTTTCTGGGCTGGAGGGAGAGGAGTCATTAAAACTAATTTTAAAACGAACGAACAGATTTCAAAATTGCGCCTAGTGGCAGTCTGCGAAGCTCCTTTGGTATGCTGCCACGTTATGATTTCCTAAAAAGCAGCGCCAGTTCGCGGCAGTGTGGCTCGCTCGTGGAGTTACTTAGCACTGAATGTGACTTGGCGGAGAACGCTAACGCCTTTACCACATCGTATATGTTGAAGCTTCCACAGTGCTTCCGCAACGTGCATTCCACACCATCCAGATTTGCCGTTCTTTGCTTACGATAGATAGGAGCTTGGTCTGAGGAAGCGGGGACCTCCGCCAAGCCAACCGTACCACTCCCCCCCCCCCCCCCCCCTCCTCCCCATCCTCCCGATGTGCCGCAACATAGCCTCTTCTATACTCACAAAGCCTGGCAGTTCGACGACGGACCCATAGGGTGCCCGGTCGCAGATTTGGAGCGCTAAGATCTGGTACCACAGAGCATCAAAGAGCCATTTCTAGGGGAACCTGGACGTCAGCGCACAGCTTTTACAGCGGCGAGGACCCGAAACACACTTGTTCGCTCGGGAGAAACGTGTTTCGGCGTCTCGCCGCAGCGGGGCGCCAGTCACGTGGCTCTCCTCTCATCCGTTGTCTGCCGCTCCACCTTTTCCATTTCGGCGGCCGCTTCTCTTGGCGACCTGCCAGGATTTGTTAGTATATACACGTTTGCAAGTCCGGCTTCAGGGCGCTGCCATCTTGCCTGTCTGGGGTGCGCTTGGACCAGTCATAATCCGATTACGAAGCCTTGCTAAGGCGTCGTAATCGGAGTATGGCCGCTCCCGAGAGCGCACCCCACTGAGGAAGATGGCGGCGCCCTGAGACCGGACTTGCAAACGTGTATAGGAGGCTATGGCTGTAAATACAAGCTCAAATATGGCATTCAGTGAATACCTTATATACATAGCTTCCAGGTGTCACCTTTGCTGGAAACTGATGGTTATTTCTACTTACTGGTCCCCTGCGGTGTGAAACTAACACGGCGAACCGAACGCTCTTGCTTCAATTTCACCTATAAAGCTTAGATAGAAGAGCGGGTAGCGGGAGCGCCCTCTGCGCCAATTGGTTGTCAGTGCACACGAGCCTTATGTCGGGTGGCGAGAAGGAAAGTGGGCCGAAAGGCTGACACGTTTGCAGACGATCAACGGTCTGTTACCTTTTCGCAGCTCGTATTGCGAACAGGGCCCATAAGCCACTAGGCTCGGATCGAGCAGTTGGAAACCCTTCGTAATATAGGCTCTCTAATTACACCGAATGCCAGGGCCCCACATCGCTGAGGCCAACAAAACTATCTCCTTTCTGCTGCTTCCACGACAAACAAAAAACTAGAAAAGAACGCGCAGTGACAACTGTATTTTTTCGCTCGTCCGGGATCTGTGACTCACCACGCCAGCTTACTGTGTTCCGACGTGATCGAACAGGAGCTTGCTAAGTATTCTTATGCGAGGTTAAAACCTCCAGAGAAGGTGGAAAGTTTGCGAACGAGAATAAGTTCACGTTTCAGCGCTACACTAGATACAGTCACCGACACAATGAGAAGGGCAGGGTGTGTCTTCCGAACGCCCAGCCTCCAGCACGCGTTCTGAGCCTACGCCCTGATTTGGCTCCGCGCTCGCGATCGAGGTGCACTCGACGCCGAAGCGTCGGGGAAGGTAGGAGGCTCGCGCTAGAGGCGAGACAGCCGCAGTGGAGCTCCACCCTGCCCTTCCCACCTTGTCAATGACCATAGCCGAGGGCGCCGAAGATACAGCGATGAAATCGCAAAGCCATTTGCGCCAAACTGCGCCAGAGTAGTTACCCTGCTACGTCCTATTGCATCGCTCTGAAATGTGAAACAAGTTCGCGCCAACATCGCACCGAAACTTAATTTTTATTTCATTAATGCTAAAAAAGTATGAAAGATGCCTACAATTCTCTATAATGCCGGACTAGAACACA